TTTATTCTTATCGTCTGCATGTATGATATTTGATGTAATTCGTTTTTCAGTTTTTAAATTAACAAGATTTTATAATAAAATTACTACAAATATTTTTTTATCTTCTTTCTATATTAAATTCAGATTAGAATTTTGATCAGATGCTAATAAATGTCTAGAGTCTCTAGAATTACAGTAATACGATGATTAATGATGCAATGATAAGGTAACTAGAATAAGATGTACAACAAGATAAACTACATATTATCTTATTAATGCGTAATGATAGATTATGTTACCAACCTTATGATGCAGAGGATAGAATTAAGTAAATTAAGTGATTGAACGAAAAGAAGAAAAAATATTCTTTCCGAGTTATCTAAGTAAAAGAAAAAGGAAGATGCTTTTTCTTTCTCAATTTTTCAGTTTCCTAGAATCAAACATACTGTAAACTCTTATAATCCAAGTTACAGTAACAAAAGAATTTAATTATAATTCTCAACGAGAATTGATTGTAAATAGTCTACCAAATAAAAAAAAAATTTTTTTTCAGTTTAAGAAGTCGTAGTGTAAAGTAAATCTTGTATATCTAACTTCCGTTTGGTGTTTCAAGTTTCAAAGACATAAAGTCGAATTCCAGACCAACGTTTTTCACATTGTGAGTTAGACAGTCTCCAATTTCCTGGACACCGATCCCTATATTTAAAGAAACTGTGTCTCTTTCTGCGATATCGACGGGATCCCGTGATGAGACTGGCGCCGACCTCCTTCGTTGAGTTAAGGAAACCAAAGAAATGAAAGAAAACTGTCTTCTTCAAGACAGCTTAACCTGTGTCACGCGCCACCAAGGAAAGACAATCTGCGCAACAAATGGTAACCCGAAGCTCGAGGGCGCATAATGCTGAGCTCACTGAGACCGCATCTATGACCCTAAAGGTTAGGTTAGAATACAATAAATCTGTTCTGTCTTTGTAATTGACCATCGAACTTCCTGGGCAAACAGGAAACATAACTTGGCTTAACAAAATTCTACCAAATATCCAAACTGGACAAATTGTGGGTGTAAAGAATTAAATAAAAAAAAAAACGGCTTAATATCTGGCATCTATGTACATCCTCCTTTTGGAAAAATCTGCGAACAATGAGTAATGAATGCATGATAAAACTAATAAAGAAATGAAGGATAGAAAGAGTAATGTCGATGCGTGGTAAGAATGCAACAATTCATCTGCATTATTGTAAAAATCTGTAGATGTATTAATTGATGAAATAAATTTGAAGGTAGACTTAAAAAAAGAAAAAAATAATTTTCTTAAAAATTAGAGAAATTAGGATAATTTGACTATTTCTAACAGTCAAGACCTCATAACGATTAAAAATTTTCAATATTAAGAAATATTTTTTTTTGTCTTATTAATTTAACTATATCTTATTTATATTCATCCTGTCACAAATTTTATATCCTTGTTTCATTTAAAAAGCAATCATCCAAATTATGGTCTTCCTTTATCAGACTAAAAATGAATTACAACTTTTCTTAAAAACTATATCCGATAACATACCTCTTTCATTATCGTTTTATTTATAGCAATGCAATAATTTTTTTAAAATTATTATTATTATATTCTACTTAAAAAAGAAAAGGAGACATTTCAATGAAACAAAAATAAGTTTCGCAAAGGGACCTACAGGTCGTGAAAAGGTTCGCGGAAGAAGAAAGAAGATAAAGTAAGAAGGAAGACGAATCGGAGGTTCGAGTGTGAAATATGAAGAGGCACGTAAAAAAGCTCAAGTGGTTGCACATGAGGGACGAGACTTTTACCTACGTCAACGATTATTTTCTCTTCTTTTCTTACGGTGTACGAAACTCGAGGAAAACTCGTAAATTTTCTACGAAATCCATAGTAAGAGACTGGCGCCAGAGAAATTCCAAGGTCAACTTCAGCTATTATGTCCCAATATATGTAGATACCATTTTGAGGACCACGTGAGAAACTTATCCTCTGCTCCAATTTCCTCAATAGTTTTCTAAACATTTCCATTCTTCTTCTGTTCCATAATTTCCTTGCGAAGTGATTAATAAAAGCAAGATCTGAATTCTCTTGCATAATCCCAATTTTTGTCAAATAGAATATATAAGTAAACTGACAAATTATAGGTGAAAGAGATAGCTGGGTCCAATACACATGTCTTTGCTATATTTCAAATTCGGCAACTCAACAATAGAAAAATGAATAAGCAGTAAAAGGTTTTGAATAAAAAGTTCGCCAAGCATTTAGTCGTTAGAAAAAAGATCTGTATCGAGTTTCATGTAAGAGATCCTACCGATCGACGCCCATTGCCGCTGCCGATCTCATCGCCAAGTAATTTGAAACGAGGGCGTAACCGGCGACTTCTTTCCCTTCTTGACAAGCTTCTTCTTCGTCTTCTTCAGCGGCTCTTTTCGACTCTTCTTCACCCATTAGTACCAAAATGGCGTGCTCGACATTGATCAATCCCGTTTTTTATTGTCGAGTACAAGATAATTGAAATATTGTTGTTTAGACTTGTCATTTACTAATCTTTATTTTTTCTGTTTTGTAGATAACAAATAGTGAAATGTTAATCGGAAATATGTAATCAACAAAATCAAGTAATAAGAATCGAGTAATGTAATCAAATGAATTTCTGTTAATGGAATTATACAGTTTAATACGAATGAAGAATAGATGAATGTAGGTTAGGGTTAATTTGATAACTTAATTTCCAAATATTTCATTATTACATTACATATTTTATTATTTATATTTATTTATTTAATATTTATAATATTTCATTATATATTTTGTAACTATCATTAATATTTATCCCTAATAATAATTAAAGTCAATTGTCATCAGTAATATTTTACTTTCAGTAAGAAATCCAGAAATATGCAAAATATCATTTAACTTTTAATTTCTTACGGAGGGGTATACACGTAATCAATAACCCGGGGAACATGTGAAAACCAAGATTTTTCAACTTTAATGCCCACGATTTCCGGCATGACAGAATTAATTGCAGTATTTTCGATGTTTCGACCATAGAGGTTAGAATATCCTGTAACGTCAAAGAGATTCACCCTAAACGGTAGCTATCCCTAGGGATAACCTGTGGCATAAATACGTAACCTGGCACCTGTTTCCTTGCTCTACAGTCACACGTGCTGTTCCGACATGTCGCATCAATTAATATCTAATTAAAACAAATTAACAAAACAAAATAAATATCGCTTTAATAGCCCCATTTAATCACAACTAAAAATATTTTTAGAAACAATCATCAATCTTTAATATATCAATCGTCCAACAATTCCGTGATTGTTTTTTCGAAAAACTTCAAAAGTATGTATAATGCTTTTAAATGAAACGATGTATTACACAAGTATGAGTCATTAAGTGGCTGCACGGATCAAAAGCTACATTATCGAAGAATGTTAATCGAATGAGTCAGGCTCGTAAACCTACACATACATGTACGACAAAGTTCGGAAAAGTTGGAGAGAAAAACTGAAATAAATTATTAGTGATAACAGAAGACATCTGGTTTTATCCTCGATTGTTGCCAGACATGGTATCCATGCTTAAATAATTAGTTACAGTTATCAACAGCGCATAATTTCTAATTAGGTACATATATTGTTATGAGTATTATTGCCTGAAATACCAAATAATTGCCTGAAATAAATTCCAAATTTGTAAATTTCCAAATCAATTTTTGAATTCTTAAAAAATATTCTCTAAGCTCGATCCAAGTGTCTAAATTTTTTAATTTTATAAAACTTTAAATTTTTTAATTTCCAAATTGACTATTAAAACATATCTATTCGCAGCTCTGTTCTTTTCCGGAATTCTTCCTAAACGCTTACTATGTTCGTTTTTTCCTTATATTATTTTTTTATTTTTGTTTCTTCTTCTAGGGGATAGGGGAGAAAGTGATTGGTCGAGTGGCTGGCTGCCAGTCTGGTCGCAGAAACTTCTTGACAGACCCCGAGATGTTGTCAAAGGGAAATGCCGCGCGATCGACCGACCACTTCTGAACACGACTAATTTCTTCTCTTTGATGCTAGGCGGCCGATTACCACGCCTTTCCTTAGAGCCACACTTTTCCGGGACAATTTCTTCAAATCAACTCTTTTCTATTCTTGGAAGTAATACAAGTAATGGAACCGCAAAATACAAGTATATATTAATTTAATCAGGGAATAGAAGATATGACAATCTATACTAGATACACACTAAGTACTAAGTCATTAATCAACCAGATCTGCGGATCAACCATAAACTACGAATGTTCATGCATTTATGAAATATTTAAAACTGAAAAAACACAAAGGATACACATAATGTACAAAAATACGTAAAACAATTTATGGGGTGAAACTTTCATTCAAATTTAATTTCCTCTGGCATATTCTGGCATATAAATTTACATAAACATTTGCAGTCTAGTTATAAAATTTACATATAAAGAGCGTTAATCAGCCTAATGTATGTTCTCCTCAGATTTGGAAGGGAACAACACTCAAGACAATATCTTTCCCTATAATCTTCAAATAAAACCATCCCACCTCTTTTCAAGACCATAGAATCGAAAGGCAAGAAAAAATACAATAAAAAAGGAATGACTTATCGGAAGGGACAACTCAAGTATATTCACAAATCACAAGGTGGCGCCTATGTAGATGGTGTGTGGTGCGGTTTCCCACAAATATAGGTAGGAGCGATTAGAGGGTGATTAGAAGAAGGTGTTCTGGATTGCGTTCCAGCAACGCAAAAGCCGACGGCGCGTCGTTTCGGTGCGGTGCGTGTGTCCCCTCGCCACTTTTACACCCCTGTGTCGAGTAGCAGACACCGAATTGGACGACCACGCACCCACGGGACTGATACGAGACCCTGCCACTCCGTGGTTGGAAGCTGCTAGTCCCCACTTCTTCTTCTCAACCATGCGACGCACGCTCCTTCAATTTTTTTTTCTTTTACCCTTCACGAGTGGAGCTGTCGCGATTATTACTTAAATAGATATATGTATCAAGGTTTAAGTGACTTCCGGCGATAACGAGAATTGAGAGGTAGAATGTTGATTAGAAGTATCATGGTTAGTTAGCTTAGGATAACGGTGGCTGGTTTTGGATCTTTGAAATTGAGAGTGAGGTAAACATATGAGAAAAACCATGTATGGTTTTGTTGTATTTTATTGCATTCTTTTAATATTTCAGGACAACGATGAACGAATATCTAATCGAGTCATTTTTAAACAGAGTCTGATAAATATACATAATACAATAACAACCAAAGTATACATGCTTAATCTTGTAACTGTTCAATAACAATAACGATAATTTCCTAATTTCATTAAAATTTCGTCACTCTGATGTTGACATAATGAAGTGACCCATTTAGGGGACAATTTTTTCCGCGCGAAACGCGTGCCAGTCTCGTGGCTTCGAGTTTCTGGAACGGCCCGGTCTACTAATTATTATTTCCGTCGTTAAGTAGGCTATTTTTTCGGAAAACGCCAGCAGACGTAAACAAAGAGTTGAACCACGGTGTTCTGCGCTCTGTCGGTAACGCAGCAACAGAAATTTATTTATTTTTCTCGCGATGACACGTGGTTCCTCTTCCCATCTTTCTTCATTTTTCCCCTGACGATCGCACTTCCCGTGCAACTTTCCAAAACAGACATCAATTCTCGATTCGTCATTGCTTCTTAAGAATAATCTTTGATTAATTCACAAAATTCACAATGACATATTCAATATGACAAGCTTTTATTTAAAAAAAAAGAAAAAAAAAGTGAGAGTGTCCTAACCTCAATTGTAAACAAATGAAACTAGTTCCATCCACTTAATTTATATACTTATGTCACTTTGCCAATCTTTATTCACCTAACCTAATCATCGCTTCAGAAGGAACTTCGACCAATCCGCAAAAAAGTGGCAAGAAATTTTAGAGAGATTTATAAAGAGATCGATGGTCATTAAAAGTTAATCTTTCAGAGAGGAGCACGACTTACACGGCTATATAAATGGTGAGCTACCAACAGAAAGAAAAGGAAAGAAATGAAAGATCGAACAGAAAGAGGTAGAATGAAAGGGAAGATGAAAAAAGGAAGCGAGAAAGAATAAGGTTAAGACAGCAGTTGCGGAGAGGAAGAGAGAAATTCAGAGGGGCCATGTGGCGTTTCAGGAGATATCAAATCATACTACGTGTACGCCATGCCGCCCCCTAAATATAGTTTATTGCGTTACCGAGTATTAATGGAGCTCCTATAGGAAGGACGAAGACAGACAAACTATCGAGCGTTACGGATCAGCCACGGAAAACCGAAAATAAAACTTGGTAATAGATCCTGATTGATTGAGTAATTGAGTAATTAAATAATTATGCGGATACGTGTGAAAATTTCGATTTTTTATGAATATTGCAGGATAATTGAAGCGTTGATTAATTGATGTTAATATGAGAAATAGCAGACAATGTAGCGTCTTATTCTAATTACCTTATTATTATATCACGAAATTATTGTATTCAATCGAGAAGTTATATAGGTAAAATCATTTTTAAAAGAGCAGAGGAATTTTATTGTTCTGTGAAATGTATAGGAAAGAATTATTCAGTAACTTCGTTTTGGCTAATTCTTGTAGACTGGAACGTGTTTATTAATTCAGCCTGATTTATGCAGACTTTTTAATGTATCTGCCGTATCCCCTATTGTGTACTGCCGAATGTATTCCATTAATCTATACATCTATATACATGTTTTAAATTAGTATTCTAAGAAAAACTCGCAAAATATACGATAAATACAGAAATAGAGAAAGAAGTTAAAGGTTAGAATATTGAAATCAATCAGCATTTCAATTTCCTGTATAGTCTGGATTTCAGTTTATTTAGTGGCTGCAGTTTTAAAATAGATTTATCCAGTTTTCGAATTATCACATTTCAAAAATTTTCAAAATTAAACTTCCAAATTTCCGCTTTCAAAATTTCAAACTTCATAATTACTGCTTTCATATTTTTAAATTTTCGATTTTCCGCTTTTGAATTTGTATACTTCCAAACATTAGATAGTTCAGTTTACATCTTGCAAATTTTTCCTTAAAAATTTCACAAAATAATTGACACAAAACCTGCAAAGATGCAATATTACAACAAAAAATAATATACAAAATTATCTTGCACAATTATAACGAAATTATATCTTTAACATACTTTCACCAACTTTACAGAAAGAAATTCCAAGAAAATGAGAAATCTTCTAGGGTGGAGGGTCAAGAAAGAATACAAATTAGTTACGATCGTTAGGCCAGGATGACTTGTTTAAAGAGATCCACAATCATGCCAGATTTCGGATCCGTTCCGGTGTCACAAATTGAAAACATAAACACTGGGATCGCGTACACGTGTCCTCTGTATATCATAAACTGGTAGACGATCCTTAAAACCGGTTGCCTTTTCCTCTTGCTACGTCCGCTCGCTGGGTTCATTCATGAAAATCCGGTAGCCCTTTAAACCGTGAACGGGCCATCGGTAAGCATACCAAAGATATCCCTTCCTTTTTCTTTATGGTCTTTTTTTTTTTAAGGAAAGTACCGAATATTACAAGCGACCCTTCTAATACACAGTTCATTCATACCGTATTCATATTAAAATCAAAATATGCTATATATCGTAATGAAGAAAAATAAATTTGTGAAACGTAGAATTTTTATTCAAATTTTTGAAAATTGAAAATATCTCAAATTATAAATATCTAAGATAGTAATGTGTTATAAAAAATACTAACGAGTTGTATTTTTAGGGAAACATGAATTTTGGAACGGATTTAGAAGAAAGTAACGGTTCTACAAGGCGTAGAAGAAATAGACATTTTTATTTCATTAATTTCAAATTGTTTCGATTTAATTAATGGGAGACTAAATATACTATATAATAATATACGACAATATATAAATATACGTATATAATAATATACGTATCCTATATAACAAATGGAAAGGATGAAGACAACGGAGACTTTGATTGGTAATGAACGAGTGGTAGCCGAAGGAAAGGTTACTCTTGGCTGTTGGAATAATAAACAAACCCTTTTTGTTCGTTCCAGGCCGACATTCACAGTAGCTCGTTGTCAAGGGGACGCAATCCCTGATCTGGGTTAATAAAAATTCGAACGGTGTCGCATTTCAAGAAATACCGACCGAAGATTCTCCTTTTGACCAGGGAATGAAGGGTGACCGAAAAAGACCTGGTTCTCAGAAAATTGCCTTTAAATCATCTTTATCGTCGTAAACTTCACTTTGAACTAGTCGACTGTCAGACGTGTGAAATCTATCGTCAGAACATGTAATATAGCCTTCGCCAGAAATCGAAAAGGGAAAAAAGGAAGTTTGATGATGTAGAATATAGAAGAATGATTAGTTCACTGCACAGAAAGTAAGTATCAAGGATAATATTGCGCATAAAAAGGTAAATCAGAATCTCAATAACAAACAAGATAGATAAATGTCAAAGACCCTTCTCTTATTTTCTTCCATTCGAACCAATCGAGACATTGCCCTGGAAATAAAGTTAAATCCACTTTTAATCCCTCAGATAACATTGGGCGTAGCTTCAAACTATAGATAAGTATGTTAATTTATTCGACATTGAGTCGCGCGAGCAAGAATCGGTAAAAAAGTGGAGCGACGACGCGTTGACGGTAACGCACACTGACAGAGGGGGCTTTTTGCCATCCGGAGAAGCATCGGCCCTGGGAAAAAGACAGATAAAGCCACTTAAAGTAGCTCCAAGCTGTGGAGGAGGATCGTGCGCTGACCACTACTATTTTCAGTCCTTTTTGCCGCTAATTACGACAACCCTTTATCGAAAGCCACTCGAGCATCCCCCACCCTGGTATTGCTCCGACACTGCGGATTAAAAGTGCGCCAACGAATTTTAAAATAGGACGCTCTTGGATGAAATTCGTGGAAGTGTATTTATTCAAGACGGATGCACCCAATTTTCTTTGACGTTTAATTATAGATTTAAGGCATGTTCACGAATAGTTCCATGATCCTCTTGTTCTTGAATTTAGCAATGTGACACAGAGGCAGTCATCATTGGTCGAAACTCTAATCGTAATGAAAGTTAAGTTATCGCATAAGCAGTATCCACATTTATATAAATACTACAAAACCTGTCTAATACGTATAATATAAAACCACAATCCTTTGCGAATAGATGAAACTTACTTATTGCATGGGGAAGAAGAAAATGAAATGGCATGACCAGAGAAAGGGGGATAAACAAATAGAACTGAATGTTAAATTCATTTGAAGAAAAAATCATTAACAAGTATTAAGTGTCTTCTAGCAAGTTCTAACAAAAATTATCAATTCAAAAATATTTTATTATTATAATTAATTATATTTTATTATATTTCAAGATTCCACCACCATCACCATCCACTAAGGGAAAAACAAGGAAAACAAAGAAAAGGAAGATTACTATAGCGTGTCCAATATATCTCAGATCCATGGTATATATCGGATCCTCTGCGTTCACTATTTATATAAATCATGCACTCCGGTGTTGGCTGATTCCCCGTTCAGTTCAATTTCTTAATTGAATCGAACGATATGCGCTGCATGGGCGTAAACCAGCTCGAGCTCCGCCCTTTGATTCCTCTCCACAAGCTTCGACTCTCTCCCTCTGGAGTCTGCGTGTACACCCACCAGCGTCGTGCTCGAGTACCAAACGGAATAACCCAGCCACTCGAGGCGACCTCCGAATTCGGCGTTCTTTTCTCAGTGGCACTTGGACCGCATCCGGAAACGCAGTGACCTCGTGACCAGTGAAACGCGGCATCTTTCGTCGCATCCCTCATGCCTTCCTTCGGATAAGAAATATTCCAACCGATTTCTCAATCGTTTCGGGTTGTTAAGGAAGAGAAATTACAAGAGTTCTTACAAGAGAAATTACATTTTCGTTTAGATAATTGGGCTTGGAAATTTTGTGTAATCTCTCTACAATTTTGTGTAAGTTCTCAACGAACGAAGATTTTCAGAAAATTGTTCGGAGTCGATTTCAAGAACGATCTGTTGTAGAAGAATTGCGATTGATGGAAGAATTAAATCAGGGTTAAAAAGATTTAAAAAAATCAGACTCCACTTTGTACGCGATTGATTCGCTGATCGCTAGTGAGATTTTTATTGGTGAAGTTATTGTGACAGTGCGAGGAAAGGAAGTGAAGGAAAAGAAGTTACAATGATGCTCGGGGGTTACGAGGCGCAGCCGGATTATTATCCGCAATGGCATCAACCCTACAATTACGTCACGCAATTACCATATGGTAAGTTCTATTCTATAGATATTCATTTTTTTTATCTACTTGTAGCTTTTATTAATATGTTAGTTTACGGTTTATTATCTGGGAATCATAAAGAGAATCGTATCAGAATTTTATAGCATCGCTATGCGATTTGCCTACAAAAAGACTAAAGAGTACTTTTAAAACTGAAAGAATGTAGAAAACAAATTTCATTACGCAAAATGAAATAGTTTCGAATACCACTTGCATACGTGTGTTTGCTTCGAAATGAGATGACTTCTAAATATAGATAGACTAAATTTCCAAAATTTTGAGTCGTTCAATTTTTTTTAGTGAAACACGGAGAATTTTGCTTGTAGAATATTAAGTAATCTTCAGATTGTAATGGGATTGATAATTCAGAAGCTTTAATTATTAGAAAGAAAATAGTACAATTAGGAAGATCTTTAAAGTCTAAGAAAGTATCTTCATATTAACATTCAATAACTATTTCGTTATTCACATTTATATTATATTATCTTACAAAACTTTCAAAGAATAGATTAATGAATAACGCAGGCGTTGCAAAAGATAATTGATATAATAGTAAAGTAACACGATAAATAAATGAATAAGAAAAAGAAATCGCTGAAATAAAAAGCGCCACAAAAAATGGTATAAATCCACTAAACGCATTCGCAATTGTAGCATAATAATAAAACGATATTCCCTAAACGAGATAATAATTAAAATCTAAAACAAAATATAGTAAAAACTGTTGCACACTTCGCCATTCGATATATAAAATTCTCCATTTCTCTTCTGTAGGACCGCTGAACGTGCCCGACGCGGATAGCCAATCGACGTACTGGGGCGCGGATTCCGGGATCTCCGGGGGTAGTTCTGGCGCCGGAAGTCCCACCGCCTCGACGCCTCCCCTGATCGAAGAGATCGGCGTCCAAGAACCAAGCTACTCATCCCTGCAACAATATCCACACCCTTCTATCAGTCAACACTATCCCAATTTGCCTTACCCACCTCAACAAGATATTTCACATCATCACCTACATCATCACCATCATCATCAACAACAAAATCACAGAAGAGACGGCGATTATTCGACAGTTTCTTCGATGAATCAAGTTGATGGATCGCTTCAACAACATCTCAGACAAGGAACTAGAGACGGCGGAGTTGTCGTTAGGCCTAAACGAAGGAATACAGCGAATAAGAAAGAAAGAAGACGCACACAAAGTATTAACAATGCGTTTGCCGATCTTCGTGACTGTATACCCAATGTGCCGGCGGATACGAAACTATCGAAGATTAAAACGTTGAGGTTGGCAGCTTCGTATATTGGATACCTGATGGCGGTATTGGAAAGCGACGAAGGAGAAGAGCCGCAGACCTTTCGCGCTGAAATTTTATCTAATGGCAGAAGGAACAAGACGGCTCAGGCAAATCAGGTTAGTTTTTAGAAATTTCCAGCTTTCACGGTGCAATTAGAATTTAAAAGGCTACGATAAGGAAGCAGCTCTACTTTCTAGCAGTTTGAGTAAACCGACAAAAATCAAATTATATACATTCATGCTATAAATTCGCTGTCAGCTATTATTTGTAATAATGAACTTCTGCACTTTTTAATGTGAAGGTTATATCTTTTTTCCTCTCCCAACAAATATAATTTATATAAATATCGTAGCTGCCTCTTTAATAGAATCGAAACTTCCGGGTGAAAATACGTTCAATCGTGTCAACCGAATTCTGATAAAATTAACTGTACTACTAACAAAACGTCAGAGTCTCTAGAAAATTCACACTTGGAAGCTTCGATCGTGAAAATGAAGGCCAGTTTTATTTTATCGCGAAGTTTTTGTATTTTGATTGATTGTCGTAAAGGAGTATTGTTTAGACATAGTAATGTGCTCTAGACATGCTGAAACTTGTCTTAAAACAATATAGCGGAAGACAAATTTCCAATATAAATATTATCATACGCAGAATGTATCGTATTGCATGATAGACTATTTTTTAGCAAGTTACTGTACTATCAAGTAGCAGCGAATTTGATATCCCATATAGGCAGATTCAGACAAGTCGAGACAGGTTATATTCACGTGTTTCATATTCGATATAATAACGTGAGAAAATATTGGTTTATTATGTTATAATCAATAGACTATTTCGTCTACTATCCATTTGTTTATCTCTGCGACATACTTATTTACGTATTTGTTAATAAGACAGCGTTACCATTTTGTTGAAAATCTTGCTTGTTAATATCCGTTTCTACATTTGAAGTATGGAAATATAAATATTTTTTCATCCTGTAATAATAAATAGGTCTCGTTCTATGACCTAAACATCTCAGATTGTAGAAAGCGATAAATAAATACACATCATCAATAATTTAAATCTCTTTTGGAAAACTTCAAAATCAAGAAAATAATCATATTCTGATGTCTAAATTTGAAAATACTCTGAAAGGGTCCTCGAGCGTACTTCCACAGCGAAAATCGGCGGTATGCACTTCAACTACGAATTTATGCCCTTCGTCTACTTTCCTTTAAATCTCCTGGAACACTTTCGTAAGCGTTGCCTTCGAATAAACATCGTTCTCTTTAATTGGACGTCGTTCGTCGACGCCTGAGAACTCGACCTTAAACTTGTCATACTAAAACTTTTAGATGAAGAAAGACAGAGGAGAAAAATCTCATCGTGTTCACGTGCCATCGAAACGAATATTCTCAATTCAGCATATAACATACTTGTTTTCCGCATTGTGACAAAATAAGTTTATCGATGCCAGGCAACAAATAAATTTTCATCCATGTAACTTGTTCTGTTTATTTGAAAATGAGAAATTTAGTATAATCTTGACAAATTTTAGCTGTACACAGAACTGACTATTCCTTTGATTAAATGGATGTTTAGTAACCATTCCCGTTAGAGATGTCAAACAGCCTAATCAGAGATGTTGGAGATTAAAATTTATTTCGCTCAGAATGCTTCCAGTATGATTCCATACGAATTTTATATTCCTGTATATTTCAAATATCATTTTAATATCGATTCTTTGAATTAATTAATGATAAGTGGAATTGGCAATATAGAATTGTAATATGTCATACGTAAAATGTTTAGTTAGACAGACAAGTGATTGGTACGTTTAAAATTCGACAGAATCGACTAAAAATTTAACGAACGAGAAGAAAAGAATTTTTGTGAAGTGGTGAATAAACTGGATTGCGGTTAGATCACCAGGTATCAAAGGTTCTTCGACTATATATTATAGCTTAGATCGTTTCCGTAACTTAAATTTCGAAGATGACTATTGGACCACCCTGTAGTTTCGTGGTTTCTCCTGTTTTCTGTAATTCCTCGCCACCCAAAGAGAACTTTCTTTGTTTCAATCTTCAATTGATCTGCCATATCTACCATATAAATTTCAAACTTTAGGTAACTAGAATTTACATAAAAGTATAAATGTAAGCAAAGATTACAATTGTAAAGTAATAAATATTAAATGTAATAATAGACAACGATATAAAACATAGTTATAAAATATTTATATTCTGTATATATTAAAGTTTAAATAAAAAATATGAGGTATAAAAACATAAATATGTATATGCGACAATAAAAAAAATATAAATAATATTTAAATCTAGAGAATATAAATATTTTATAATAGACGTATTTTGTATGTATTCAATTTTTCATTGCAGAACGAGTCGTATTTACACCAGGCATCAGGCCTCGGGTCTGAGGAATCATCGAAAAGCAAAGGCCGAACTGGTTGGCCGCAGCATATGTGGGCCCTCGAATTGAAGCAGGAATCGCCTACCAACCAGATGCAATAAGATCATCGATTCCCAATCTATCTATTTCTGACACTTTATGGCTTCTGTTCTTCCGTCGTTATCGAGAAACCGAACAAATTGAAGTTAGATCAATGTTGGTGGCTAGCCAGGAAACTTCGATTATTCTCAACTTTTCCTAGACAGCTATCAAGTATTTCGTGGAACATAAATAGTAAGAAGAAAAATATTCGTTACTCTTTCATTTTACATCATCGACGAAATGTTGCGGTATAAAATAAGATTAATTTATTCACATAGCTGCGAGATAAGGTTAGTGTAAAAATTACGCTAAGTATTGTGTATGTGTATGAGTGTATATAAGCGGGTGAAAAATCGAAATCGTTCTTTTAGTCCCTTTACTTTTCCTTTTCTCTTTCTAAAAGACTTTTTTTAACAGATTCGCACTTTTGATGATTTCTGGAATTTCTGTTACGAGCAGAACTTGCTAAATCTCAATAAAAAATAGGGCATTACTTTTATTTGAACGCAGAAAGCGTCGATAAGTCTATTGTAAAATACAAGCGATTGTTTGTAAATACGCGTCTGCGAGTATAGGTCTGCCTGTAAATAGGAGTATCTTATTTCTTGGTCGATAATAATTTACGTCAACCTCGTTATCCTTTCACATTTTATTCTGCGTTAACCTTTAACATTTTATTCTTCATTGAAGGAAAAATCCGAAAAAAATTGAAGGAAAAAGAAAAAAAAGTTTGGATATCAGATATTTCATCGAAAATCAAAATTTCATACAGTTTTTATCAGTTAAAGAATTTAAGTGATATCATTCTTTCGTTAGATCTAAGCAAGTCAATTGATTTAAGATGCTTGTAAACTTTTGTATAGATTATCTTTAACAATGTATAAAAAGTAAAAAGTCACTAGTAATAAATAGGGTATCTAGTAACTTAAGCTCTCGGGTATTCTTTCTCCCCCCCCCCGTACATTTTATATGTTTTAAAATTATATAATAGTAAATATGTAAATATTAAGTAGTAAGAATTAAACGGAAACAATCCCAAGTCTAGCTTGTAAACAGAGGAAGAGCTCTCAATCTCAGTCAAATAGATCTTCCCCTGGCTCTTGTGTTGAGGTCTTGACTTGTCTGAAAGATATGTTTTCCTTAGTTACATGCTGAGAAAGCATTGTTCCTCGGCGACGGTTTCAAATTTCTTGGATTTTCTGGCGCCGGTACTTGATCCACGTTCAGCTTCTTAATTTGAGCGTGTTGCTGATACATCTATTGAAAGGAAAGAAGATTCCCCTACATCCATACAACATCTGTCCTTCGTTTCTAGGAGAAAATCATGCAAGTATAGTTTGAGAGAGTTGCGTACAGTATATTAATTTTCATTGGTTTATAATAAATGATCTTTAATCATCCTTGACATGTTTGTCATTCAGTACCATTCCACAGCAGATTATTTTTCTGAGTATCAAATAAACAAGTAGACGCGCCGCGATTAATCAAGACTAAATATTTGCACCACTTTTATCTGACAACGATACGGTATTTAGCTTCATCGATAACTGCATAGTGACAACATTGTCGACTTTGTATATTGTAAATCTGTTGTCCTCGATCAATCGAACCACGCATAAGAGGAAGCCAATTAATGGACGAATTCCACGTTGATATTTAAATGAAAACACAAAATTATACTAAAAATATCGGATATGTTTCATAAATTGAATGATATTAAGAAATTGAATACCCAGAATCAAATATTTTTAAAAATTCAAACCAATTTGTAGAACTGTGAAGGTTAGGTTGAATGATGAAATTTATTCTAGGTACTGGACTTATTTTTTTATGGCTAATTATCCTCATTCTGTGAGCGATGATACGAACATGTGAGTGATATCATCCGTATACCAATCATAGCATGCAATGGATTATGTTATTCTGTTACGCTGTTAGAGATCTTTTGTGTCCTTGTCTAGTAACGCATGCACATTCATATCATAAATATGTAAGTGTGACACTGATCAACAAGCGGCGGCAGTGTGCATGCCTAATCGGACAAGGGCAGAAGGGGCTTCTATGGAGCATTCTCTTTCTATCCTCATATTGTATTCATTTACATACGTACGATTTGTGTGCTTCTATCTTCATATCTCTATGATTATATAGCACCACTCGACGTTCATTCCAATAAATAATCATCGATCAGTCTGTCAGTATTGAGCTTCGAGTTTATTGTCGTTCTGTAACATCTACATACTAGGTCATCGCAGAGCGCAATGAAATGAAAATATTCTAGAAACTCAATGTGTAAATAAAAAACAACAAAATGAAAAAAGCAAAGGCAGAAGTAGATACTTTTTTGGAGAACAAAGAGGCACATGCTTTCCCGGTAGAAGGTGTTAAACACGAGGAGGTGAATCGGTACCGCTTTGTAAACTCTTCGGTTGATGAAGCGCAGAACACCTCCGTGGCCCGAATCGACGATATAAACACTCCGCAGTACCTAAGGAACTCGGTTATTCTCGGTAGCAGCAAAGAGATCGTTGCTTCCTTGTCAAAACCTTACCATGAAGCCCCTGCTGTGCTACTGAGACCATGTACGATTCGTATAGTACGAAAGGGACCTTGTATACATATGCACGGATCCGTATATATTATTATTAGATTGCGGATATTTACAATTAAAAGAGTGTTACCTATGTAGGAATTTAATTCATCTACTAAATGTTAAACTGGTACTATAATTTCGGTTATTTTGTATATTTTTGCATATTATACAAAATTTAATACATACATATGCACATATGTATATGTATAGTGAGGAAATGAATGACCCAGGGAAAAAACACACGAGATGGGAAAATTATAGGAGAAATGGGGAAGGAAGATTTCCAATTCTCGCATCAGTCAGAAATAAAAAGAGATTAAGATCAACCGGGAACATTACATTGTTCTTTCAATATTATTTTTGCTATTTTGTCGGATAAAGATTTATGTATATATTATATTTTTCTTATTTTTTATCTATAAATGAAATAATGAGGTAATCATTAAAAGAATTAACTAGATGCAACCGAAATTTATTATATGAAAGATTGGAATTTCAATAATTTTATATATATACAACACTCCCGTTATCGATTCCTCTCAAACTAATTTCATTGATACTCGACCGAACACGAAAACCTAACCTTCTTCCCACTTCCATTATCATCGCCCTCTACTTGCATTTCCCCTTCTACTTTTTACTACCACTGTTTGGTGATTTGACAAATGAAGATGTAACGAAAAGAACTAAGAAGAAAAGAAAAAGCCTTTCTTACGTGGGAATATTTTCGAAACAGCATCGCGACCGAACAATCACGCGTGGGTATATGTTTGTATAAGTGTATGTCAACGTGAACACGCGTATCAAATGTGTATACGAGGCCAAAGGAAAAAAGTATGAAGCGGACGTTTGTTTGCTTTGACAAGTATCGAAGGTCCACGTACATATATACTTACTCGCGAGAATGTCCAAGTACGGTCGACCACTTAGGCGTCTTGTGAAAAACTGCCCTTAGCATGTGTCGCGCAAACCTTCTCTACCTAATTGCTCCTTTTGAACGTTACTTTTCTTAATCATGGGGTAAAAGAATGAAAAGAAAATCGATGTTTTCAAGTTCTGGATATTTTTATTAGATACATAGTAAACTTTGGTAGTTCGATTAGGGAATATATTTTCCTAATTATTTTTTTAAGATGATATTTTTTCTTTTATCAACAAATGAGAAAATTAAGTATAACTTGATTCTTTGAAAACCATAACTAGACTTTTAATGTTTATATGTATAAATTATGCATAATTATAGGAAATTTAAAAGTATAAAAATGTATGTGTGGATCATGTTCAAAGATGTAAAAATATCTGGAAGAGTACTCCTATCATAAACAAATTAGGGATATATAAATGCATAAATACATAAAAATCTGCAGTCTAATTATAACATTTAAAGTATAAACCAAATTTCTATTTAGATTCCATTTCTTTACTTGTATTCACAGAAATATAAATTTGTGTAAACGTTCGGGTCAGTCTAGTCATAACATTTTGGTTACATTATTTGAAAACTATTGTACCGTATATAATTTTATCGTAACTTATGTGTCGATAAAGTAGGAAACGGATTGATTAAAGAATCGGAATTTAAGATCCGAGTAAATTCATTGAGTATTGGAATTTATCAGACAAACATTAGAGATATTACAAAAAGGAGCAAATGAGCTACGCTATGCTAGTACGGCTACAAATCTTGGTTCAAATTGTTTACCCTTCGAAACTACTGTGCGTCATATGTAAACAATGCTGTTCTTCTCTAAGATGGATTATGTCTTCTGTCCGAGTGTTCGGATTTAGTATCTCGCAAATACCCAACGGGAATGCTTGCTGTGATATACTAGAAGCTTAATGTTTCTTACATTATCCCGTAAATATATTTATGTGTAATACATTACTCAAAATTAAAATATCTTTTCAACTTACACAAGTACCTTGTATTTTTAAGCTCAAGTACCTCTTGATACCTTTCTGTAGAAAATAAAATTACACATTATTTCGTATATAAAAACATCTATATAAAACGATAGCTCCGTTTAAAAAAATGGAGGCTATCTAGAAAATTCGGTAAATGCACGTACTTTCAGAATAATTACATTTCATTTAGCTTAATGAAATTTTTTCCTACTTTCTATATGTTTCAAAGTTACTAGTCTAATTACTTACGGTATCTTATATATTCATGTACAGACGTACTAGGATATTAAAATACCTAAATACCAAAATACTAAAATATTTAAATATAAAAATACTAGAATGCCAAAATACCAAAATATCAACAATTTTTTAATTTCAAAATAACAAAATACAAGATACTTACTAAAATTTCAAAACTTTAAAATATTAAAACACTATAGTCCCATATAAATATACGAATACAGATTCTCTTTACAAAGAGATTCGCATAAAAGCAGTCTTCTAGTCGCATTTATATAAACTACGCTTTTACCGTAAATTAAACTGCGTGCTTCCAAGACGACCAACCGATAAATGTGTCGATAGCCAGACGCACAGTCGAGCTTTTATACGAACGATGCCCGATCTCCTCTCCATGCTCCTCGGTCTCATTCGTCCCGAAATTGAATTGGTTAATTGACAGACTTAATCGAGAACAGATTGTCCGACTGATCGCCTGGGGTGCCAAGTTCGATCTGTTACAAGCGACAGGGAAAACGCCAAGATACTATGCTGACATTTTCCGATCTGATAGGTGACATTTTATAAATGTTCTATATTTGCAAATCATTCGACGTGCATTTGTCTTTGTTTGAATTCTGTTAAATCACTAATTATATAGGAATTGTTTTCTGTTAGGATGGATTTAATTCATTCTAATTTTATTGAGATTTTATTGGAATTCAAGATTGATTGAACGTTCGCAGCTGAACAAATGACATTAGCGAAATTTTACAGGTTATAGGTTACCAATGCTAATATAAAAATTCTTTTACACAGAAATTATCTCAGTAAAGCACAGGAGGAAGTTCAAATTAAGAGGATTTTACAGTATACTAGCCTAGATTATCCTATTGGACATGGATTTGTTAAAGGAAAAGTAAAAGTATATAACCTAAAACTTGTCACTTGTCAATTGAATAGAATTATCAATTCAATCATTCTATAAGAGGTTGCCGTCATTTAGGTAATCCTACTGTATCTTATATGTGAATTATTAGCCTTCTGTATCGATTATCTAATAATTCATAACCTCTAATAAGTAACTACATACAAGTAGTGATAGATTTTTAAGGAAAGTTTCAAGAAATGTTTTTTAAGGTAGGTTTTTCTAATGGAGAAATCTATTGCTATGGACAACAAACAAATGAAATTCTAAATAATTTAATTTCAAATAAATGAGAATTCAACAACTTATTCTCTACATACACTCATCATCCACGTAAGATTTTTTCCACTGTCCACAATTGATCCATTAAAGTTACTATCCTATTTCCGTTAGAACAGAGAGAAAGCAGAAGAAGGAAACAATAGAGAGAGAGGCACAGCTTCGGAGATTGTGTTAAACCTGTTACAAATCCCGGTAGAGTCAATGAATCTATCCGTACGAACATTTCCGTCTTGCGGTGACGACAAAGAATGAAAGTGAGGATAGGAAGAGAAAAAGAGATAAACAACGATGAGAAAGCGAAAGAAACGATACGGGGGTGGTTGCAAAGGTTCTCCCAGGACGTATCCACGATCCTCATTAAGTATGGAGGAGCGTAGATCTCGATTGAAATTGAGATGAATCGCTTCGTGAGACGTCAGGATTGGCCTCGGTTGGGGGTGGGTGTTTTTTCAGTTGAACTTTATTTCAAATGAAATCGATACTGTCAAGGAAAGGGAGAAGAAAAATAAGGTTTACTCCATGGAAGCGACAATTGGATGAAAAAGAAAAGAGAAAGGAGAAATAGAGTAGTGTAAGGTAGCTTGCACCCCTATAAAACCAGCGACTGAACACCGTATCGACATCATTCGCCGACAACGTTCCGCGATAACGTGCCCTCAAACGAAGCGATGATCGGTTCCGTCGCGTTTCTGTCTTTCAACCGCCTTATGACCATGGCAATTTGCGTACTGCTATGTGTGGTCTATTTGGTGTCCTGCGCTTCCGGAGAATACGGTACGTTCTACCGATTGTGAATTATACAGGAAGTTTAACAACCCTCTGACGGTGTAATATAACGAAAAATTCAGGATGATTTAGGAAACAATTATTCCTTTCTTGCAAAAGTTTTTGTATTTTGATTACCAGTTAGAAGAGCTACATTCTTCCAACTTTTCAACCATTTCAATTTTTTTATAAGTGAACAATTTTTTATAAGATGTGGAATTTGTGATAAAATGACTCAGTCTCTCTCGTGATGCATTTCGAAGAGATATTAAGGAAGCTAGGTCAAAGACCGAGAAACTACATATACATACGTGTTATTATTTTACCATTTCCACATGTATCGTTATTTGTACGTGTTATACTCTTTCAAATAGAAGGTAGAGATTCCTCGAGTAGCACGAGCAATGACAGAGCACCGAGCAACGAGTTTGGCTCGTGCAGCGACGGCAAGTGCATCAAACGTACCTCGCAGGATATTACCAGCGGTATGTGGTTTGGCCCACGATTGGGGCGACGACGCAGGACGGACAGAAAACCGGAGCTCGATTTTGACATTGAAACTCTGGCCAACGCGCTCGATGGGTCACGTTGGGCCATCATCACGATTCCAGGTATATATTTATTATGCTTGAAATACGTTTTTTATAGTTTCATGAATTTCTCTTCGTATTTTTAGTGTATTTTTGTGATTGTTTTTTTTTCCAAAAAAAAAGATAAAAATAGTAGCTTTCTATTTTATATAATTCACGGTAATATCATATTATTATGGAATCAAATTTTTTACTAATTTGATAATGGAATATATCACACTATTTTCTATAGAAGTGATGCAACTTGAATACCTAACTTAAATATCTTTCCTCTGAATAGAATATTCATGCTTTTGCAAATCTATATTTCTTTAATTTTGTTTCCAAGATTTAAACAATAACAAACAGATTAACTGTATGATTTGAAAGAATCGAAAGATGTGTATTTTTTCTTTTAAAAAATGGCAAAGAACATCGATCTATATTTGATATTTCAATCATTGAGTTTTTGAATAAAATTTGTTTTCAGGAACAGATAGGCGTCAAGCAAAGCAGTTCACACCCCGTTTGGGGAGAGAATCAGGCGAAGAATATTTCTCATACGGGTTTCCAAATGATCAGGAAGAGTTGTACGCGGAGGAACAAATTTTCCCACCTTTGTTTGCACCACGTTTAGGACGTAAAGTACCTTGGATACCAACTCCAAGGCTTGGACGTCAATTGCACAATATAATTGATAAACCTAGACAGAACTTCGATGATGCACGCTTTTAAGACTGGTTCGACCTGCTGGATGATTAATAGCTAATGATATAGTGTAATTAAGATCATATTTAAGAAAATAAAGGACTTGTATTTATTTGTATTATAATCGAGGTATGCTCGATATTTTTCCTGTTTCATTAGTTTTTATTATTATTCTTTCTCTTTTCTTTGTGAAATGAAGATTGGTTTTCCATGTAATTGATTAGAAGTTAGGTTAGGCTTGAGGCAATGGGCTAGTATACGCATTCACTTCTGTTATAATAAAGGGATTGTTAGCATTGTTCTACTTTAATTCAGTAAATTCTTTTCGTTCCCGTCGGAAAAAGAACCTGACAATGTCAAAAGTCAAAAGAACAAAGATATTTATTTTATTTTTAAATCTAATTGTTGGTACAAAAATAAATCATCGGAAGTTTACTCGAAAAAAATAATCTGTCAAATATCGCAAATATACTATAATTAGGATCGAAAGAAACAAGATGTGTCGTAGCTATAAAATTTTTATTTTCATTTCGACTTTCATATCATCAATATCCCACCTCAAAAGATAGATACATATTTTTTAAACCTTGGTATAATTATTATTACTACGAAATACTTTTAAAAATAAGAAAATTTGTTAAATATGATTATAATAATTCTTAAATTCCAATTATTTTACTATTTGCAAATATAACAATTTCTACATTGTGATAAAAGATAAACAAAAAATGAAAGACAACATATTTTCAAATTTTAAAATATCGTGTAATTAAAAGAATAGAGTCGCTAAAACCGTGGTTGTTATTCCTGTCCGTTCTGATAGTAAATGGTTACTTGAGCAAGGAGAGGCAGAAGGTTAACTTGTATCTGCTGGATGTGTTTCCAAGCTTTATGGTTACGACCGCAGTCTACGCTGCCACATGGCCCACGGTAGTTCCGGTCGAGGAATTACACGCGTAGTTACGCTCCTCCCTTTGCCTCCTTCCTCTTTCTTTCACCGCAGCCAGAAATTTAACCCTATCTCGTTGCACTCATGGTTCCTCTCTGTGAAAAAATTGAAACGATCCTATTTTGGCTATCTCCTTTCTTCCTGCTTTAATTCAAGAAATAGTTCAATGGAAAAACTTTTTCTGTTCGTTGATAGATATTAATACTTCTAGTAATTTTTAGGTTATTTCAACCTGAGAAAGATAGCAAAGTCGAAAATTCATGCTTGTAATTTTATAAAAACCAGGATACGAATTTTATGTCATCCTTTAAAACTTCTTAACTTTATTGTTGTGAAAAGTTATTATTGTAAAATAAAATTTCCACTTCACCGAAAAAAAGTATTCAAAATAATAAATTTATTGTTCATTATCTGTGAAATTTATCTTAACCTAAAAAGATTCTAAATTATACGAGATATGCATTATGGAATGAAGAAAAAATACAATATTGTTTGCAATTCGGTTTTTTTCCTTTTTTTATTATTATTGTTATTATTATTATTTACTGCACTCATAAACGTTACAATCTTTCTACGCATACAAGATTCACAAATCGTTCACACGACAGCTCGTTTCATCACGTATAACACCCTTACTTAAATATCTCTAGGCGTATTACAACTACAATATGTAAATTATATATTTGTATATATATATAATATGTCTATATTTTTTTTTCATTTTACTTTCTCTATCTTCCTCTCATTCGTTCACACGCATACGATCTTCTATCATACACATATTACGTAAACGCACACGTGTTCGTCTCGTTTCTTCTATTTTTTATAATAATAATAATATTCGTACGCTATGAATGTATATCGTATTTACATGATCAACAGTTTTCGTTTTAATGGGATCTGAAATTGGTAATGTTATGCAAAATCATCGTCATAGCTCGGATTGTAAGAAAACGTAATCTACGCCATATGTATGCATCAGTATGGTTAATAAATCTGAAAAAATAAATCGGTTATTTTCACGAGGCCGCCAAACGGAGAGCACAATCGATATTTTCAATCGATTTATGATTCTATTTTATAAGTTTTCTAATTTCTCACATTTTTGCACGTTCTCCAAGTTAACTCATCGTTACGAGTAAATACCGTCGACCTTTCTCAAATTAAATATTTTGTTTTTTTTCTTCTTTTAATAATTCACTTTCCCCCTTTTATTTAGAGTATAATAGTAGGTTACCATAGTTATAGTCTTCGAAGGAATCTATCAGTTCGTTTCTATGCATGTTTCTTACAAAATTCGAATAAAATTCTTGATCAGTGTATTCTTTTAATCTAGGGTATTATTTTCCTCTATTGCTTTCAGTCGATTCTAATTATTGTTACTTTATATCTATTTTTCGTGTCATCTAATCATGTATGGTAGTGTAAAAATTGTTAAAATGTTTTACCTAGTTTTTTCCGCTCATTTTAAAGAGATAGTCGTTGATCGGAAGCTTATGGCGTAATAATAATCGATTGATAATTAAGGTTAGTGACACGAGGATTAAAATGCTGACATACTCCTTTTCCCAATTCATTACACTCATATTTATTTTAGATATTCTGAATGTATGATTCTTAAGTCACTTTGCTTCGTACTTTAATTTCCATTAATTCCTTACGAAATGATCCATAGGTTATTGCGTAGCAAATTCTCTAGGAAATGGTTTATCGATTATCGCACGATCGATATTCTAGTGAATGATTTATCGATTATAAATAATTAAAATTCATTTACAGTTTATTGAATAATCAATCCTCTCTCGAATGATATATCGATCATCGCACAATTAATGATTTGTCAATCGTCAGTGTTCTCCTTCTTATCGTTTTCATATCGTCCCAAAGAATTTTAAGACAAATTGCAACAGTTATTGAGCGAAAATGATCGCCGAATTAATTACAATATACAAAATTAGAATCGATCAAAATCACAAATTGAATTTTGGATATAAATTACATTTAAAGAAACGTATTCCGTTCGAAAAAATTTTCAAGTGGTTTTATCCACTTGAAAGATGAAACAACAGAAAGAAAATTTAATCGAAAAAAATCGATCTTTCGCTAGTTTAAAATTCAGAACGGAATTTTTTCCCGAAACGTTTCATGAAACTTCGTTGGATCGTTCCAAAAACCAGTTACAATAACTGCAAACGTCGTCAATATACCAAAGATTAATTTTCACGATCGATCCTAGAGAAAAATCCGAGGAAAAGAAATTTTAGTCTTCTAATCCTAAATATATCGTTATACGTAAATATCATATACTAACACAATCTTTTTTTTGTTTTAATAACTTTTTTCTTCAATCCATTACAGCTAAACAAACAAAACGGACTTAAAAGAAAAGATGAGTATAAATATACTATACATACATACATAAATACAAGAATTAATTAAGAGATCAAGATACAAGAAGAAAAGGAAAAAAAGTGAAACAAAGCAAGAATTAATTTTCCCATGAAAAAGATACGTTTGAGAAAGCAGTTTTCCTTCTTTTCAACCCTCACTTGTCCTTATCTTTTCTAAATTATGTATCCTGTGTATAACTGTGTAATTTACATATATATATATAGAATATATATGTACGCATATAAGTAACAATACAAGAATTTGCAATGTAGTGCATTTTCTTCAGCCGTTTACAACAGGACATCCGTCTACTGACGTGACTCCAAGGACTTCTGGTAAAAATTATTTACAGTATTCTACAAGATCGTCGTTCGTTCAAAGAAACAGCTTTCTTCCAGATACTCATTGGAAAAATTGATATACCTTTCAACTTGTTGTACTGACTTATTTTCGTTAACGGTAGAATTCACTCAGTTTCGTTGTATTCAACTTCTTAGAAATAAATCGCAGATAAAGTTTCAATGAAGCTAAGTTAGATCCTCTGATAATGATCCGGACCTAAATTTTGTATTTATAACAGAAAACAGTCGATGTGGTTTTTTTTACTAATAGAATCGATATAGCCGATTACTTTTTCAGAAACAAACAAAATTTAAATAATGAAGAGTTCATAAAATAGACTCTGAAAGATTAAATAAAATCACTCTTTATTATGCATATATACTATTAGCTGGTAAAAGTGAAGTGTTAATAGAAAAGTATCCTTCATATGTTATAGCCACTGAAACGTGATCACTTCAAAGATAAAGAAAGATAAATTCCCAAATTTCGCAAAAACGTCATAACAGATTACGTCCAGTCATCGTGCAAATGCATACATATAATCTCTTCTTTACTTCACGATCGTGCTTAAACTTTAAAACAGCTAAACAATAACACAAAAATAACAAAAAACATGTGTATATATATATATACATGCACAAGATTAATTGAAAAACCAATTACGACAAAGGAGAATGAAGTTGAAAAAGAACGACGATCGAATTCTAGGGACAGTTATCGTTACTCCTAACCTAAATTCGATTAAGCCTACAGTCATATCTTTTTTTTTTATTATAGCGATACGCTCTTTTTTAGTTTAAGTTGAATCACTCGCTTAGAAACTAGTTTTAGTTTAATCCTACGCCGTTGTATACGAAATGGCAAAATAGACTACGGACACGTTCTATGTACATAAGATATTCACTATTTAATTATGAAGTTCCCTTCGTTCGTCTACAGCTTAGTTCCTGGCACCATATTTTTCTTTCTAGTATTCGTTTTCGCGTTTATTCTCTTTGTCTCTGTTGCTTTGTGCTAATCGATCTTCGTCCGTTCGAAATTGCTGTATGTAACATCTTTTACGTTATCTTTGTTTCCTTTCGTTTTCATCGTACTCGCTTTCCTTATTGTTAATACCTTTATAAGTTGATCGTTTTATCGATTTTATTTTATACGTTTCATTATGACCTATTAACGAATTACTTTTGAAAAAATTGTCAATTTTATTAATACAGGTATTTTGAATTCTGTAATCTTATATAGGAACAATGAAAATGTTTGTAAAATGGCAAGGACCTGCGAGCGAAATACCTTAAGATAAACCATTGAGCTTTCGAATATTTAGTTTCACGAGAAAAGTATCGCTTCATTTTCTGCAACGAAAACATAGATTAGACAAAGGAGCGTGGAATTACTTGAAGATAAATTCAGAAACTTCTAACGCGTGTCTTAATTTGTATATGTTTTAAGTACGAATTACAGAAAATCAAGTCAAAATGTGTATATTGAATGAGTTATAAAATACTGACTCACGAAACACTTTGAAAAAGAAAAAAAGAGCAGGAATACATATCAAGTGACATAGAAGCATAGAAAGTGGCTGGTTAAAAATTGAATTTGTATTTCTTATATATAAAAGTAGCTTGATATCCGTGATGTACCTTATATGATAGTGACGCGTGATTTAAAATAAATAACAAAACATTTCGTAATTACTCGAAATTGTAAAAAAAAAAGACTGAATAATCGTTATTGCAAACGTATGTGTAAATATTATAAAAAATTCTAAGTAGACACGTGATGTACAATTTACGGGGTTGTTAGGTTTCGACCGATTTATTTCGAAGAATGTTTTTCAAGAAAATTATTAAAAATAGTTAGACTATGTAAAAATAATGGTATCTCTTAAATGCAACGTAGAAAATATTCATACGATTGACCTAAAACTACGTAGGGACATATATAATTTTTGTATTTTTTAATAAATACAAAAAAAGACATACAATTATCTGTAACACATTTCCTCAAAACACTACTAAAAAAATACCTAAATTTTTACTTGTCAAATCATGCAACGCTGTTACAAAGAATAATACAACATCTTGGACTTGAGCACGTGTCAAATGCTCATTGCAAGCACAAAAGTCATTCGAACGGACGTAGGAACTCTAGAATGATCACCTAAAGACAGGTATCGTCCTTTCTTTGTAATTAGTATGAGGTTAGGTTTTTCAAGAATCCACACGCAATTAATCATAACCTGTACAATTCTATAAAAAATGTCTAACTATAATTCAGTTAAAGAGCCAACAAATATTCGATTAAATATACTGCCAACTAAATAGCTGATCTGAAGCTCACTGACTTGATGAAAAAATCATAAATAATTGAAAAACAAATTGTAACATAGCAGTTGGTAAGGTTCAGCTTTCAGTTGAAATTCAGATCTGGCAAAGATACAAAAGGAAGACGATGAGAGGAAGAAACAGAAAGTACATAGAGAACATAGGGAGCATTAACCCTATTTCACACTTTATATTAGTTTAATATTATTGTTTGAAAGATTGTACCAACAGTCTTGATAAAAATAACCTGCTTCGTATAAATGTTTTTCAGCGTAGATGAAAAATCACACTTATAATTTGTAACGTGTCAAATAATTTACAAATGAATTTATAAACGGTCCTTGGGTCTAATATTTTTAAAAAATATACGGTCTGTTATATTCACTTAAATGAGCTTTTTCAATAGATACAATTTTCGGATTTTAAACAATTGAAACAACTTGCATGGAACGTTTGACTTATCGCACAAAGCAACACCTCCATAAATAATATTATCACGGAATCACTGATGAAACTTATGAACACATATAAAAATCACCAATTTTCAGAAATAGTTACGAATCTATTGTCTCTCCGAGAACAAAGTCAAAGAAGCAAATATGCTTCCTTTTTTTTTTAAAAGAATTACTTTACGAAGAGTAATCGTTGGTTAGTTCTACTATAAAACACCTTATACACTTTGCGTATAAATGATCTCTCCCTACTTTTCTTAAGCTTCCGATAATTTGAGAAAATTTCACATGATGAATGAAAAATTGAATTAATCCTTTAGCTCATGCATTCAAACTCGACAGATGAAATTTCCTCGGTGGCGTCCGGCTAAAGTAAACTCGGATGAAGTTCGATGTAACCCATTAACTTCAGGCACAATCAGATTTCTTTTAAGGCCACTGAAAAAAAGAAAGAAATTTCGTAGGATATTCCACCACTTTGGACAGCCCGATATCGTGTCTCTAATTAAACTGTTGCTAACTACTTGGACATTTCGAGTTCTTTTTTATGCACTTATATAACAATTTGTCTGGTTATTAGTAAACATTGTTTGTCACACGAACAACATATACAGTCGTGTGTCGTTAACTGGTCATGAGTTGGATTTTATTTGGCCAGTTATCGAGGGAGGTATATTTCTAGGAAAACCCGAGTATCTCTCTTTTCCACTAAATGTTAGTATAGATAGTGTTTATTCAGCCAGAGTTGATCTGTGAATGGCAGGGATTTGGTATTGATATATTCATGGATGTGGCAATAACGAATTTTCAATTTCGATCAATAACGAAAATTCGCGTATCCTATATCCTAAATTTTTATGATTGTGTGAGGTTTTATGAACTTTTCAATGCACTTCTGTTTGAGAAATCGACGTATGTCAATTTTTACTCTTAGGAGTAGAGAAGAAATATATTTATATACGTATCAACTCTGGTTATTCCAATTTTAAGCGGACGCTATTTTATTCTGTTTGAAACCCTAACTGAACTTCTCGAATGTACAATGTTCCTTAGATCAGTGTAACATTTTTATCCTTGCTCCATCCCCACTACGTTTTCCTGATACGAAACTCTGTCTTGTTCACTCTACACCAAAACAACATTACATTAATCCAGAAAACACTGCACAAAAGTAAAACCGTATAAAGCCAGTATGTATAAGAAATAAAAGACAAAGAGAAAAAAAAGGAAAATGCGAAACATAAAAAAATATAAAACACTTGGCAACTGTTCGGAAATAAGCCTTGTTATCTTTTGTGGAATTTCCATGAATATATAGGAACGTTAGAAAGAAGAAATCTTCTTGAAATAGTCTTTAAGGATGAAAAAATGCTCCAGCTTGAAAATTAGTACATACTGACATTTGTTTCATGACAGATGAATTTATGAAGTATAGGCGCTGTGAACGAAGATGATTCGATTTCATATGCGAAACACGAGTAACACAGAGGAATGTTCAACAGGAAATGTTACACTTTTGTTACAAAAGATTCAAGCAATCGTTCTGCGGTGCAGTTTCTCTTCAGTTATCACAATTTTACAAGTATGAAATTGTACGATACAAGTGCGATATGTAAAATAAGAAGAAAGAAAAAGATCTCTTCCTTTGTAACTACGATCATTATTTTTGTGAAAACATATTCGCGATGCATTGACTGATGTCAGTGTGTGACTAGTATATTAAAAGATGAAAACAGATTTGCAATGTCTCCAGGCACTTGTATGCAAGTTTAATTAATGTCGACTTCTCAACTCTTTCGCTACTAAACGACAATACATAAAGCGCGTCGACGGAAAATTGAAACGCTGCGTATAGAATGAACCAGCCATTCGTATTGTGTGTACATACATGTTTTCACTCGTGCATTAAATTTTCAATTTGTGTTTGTTCTCCTGAATAACATTGATCTGAATTCATTGATGTTTTGTTATAATAACGTTGTAATTTGCTTCACTAGAACGCCAAATTTGAAGAATAATTTTACTTAACCTCAAAACTTCATCCAGTCCAACTAATCTGTTTCTACATCATCACTGAACTATAATTTCTACGTATCCTACTTTTTTAGCGCGTAATATTGTATATAGTATACAAGTTGGCGTTAAATGTATATACTTAATGTTTCAAAATAATATAGTGTATTAAAGGTTATTCAGTATGTAAAAATAAATCAATGAGACTTATTGAATAGACAAGAAGTAAAATCTGTTTGCTTACGCTTTTCTTTTTTTAAAAAGCCGAGTTTGAAAATTCAATGCGTACACATGCACTCAGCTAACCCCAAATTGAACCCCATATAACTAACGACCGTTATTTCAAATTTGTTTTTCTTGTAAACGAGGCTTCAAAGATAACAATTTTATTCTATACATTTTATTTACTTCAGCATGTAAACTTCTGCCTGGTTTTATAATCCTTATTCAATCGAAAATTAGTTAAGTGCATGTGCACTTGATAGACTTTTCAACTTGATTTTTTTAAAGATGAGGCTTCTTGTAAAGTATCTATTATTCTAATACATTTTTGTAATTTGACAAAATAATGTGTACGTTTTTTATTTACGTTTTTGAATAATGCTGCGTTTATACGAATCTTTTTATACATTATTTGACTGTTTAGTCCGTAATAGGTTAATCAGGTTAACAAGAAAGAAAACTCCTTCATGTGTCCGAGACAACCGATCAGATGAAATCTTCATAGAATTAAAGAACCAATTAATGACTGTATCAATTCTGCATTACACGGATTAGTAAGTCTACATGAGAGTAATCATACATTTCTACAAATAGATAGTTATTGGTCAGTAACTATAAAAGATTGATTGTTCATTAGGAATGCAAAGGGGTTCAAAACAGTTAAATGACAATAGAATCATAGTTTCATTCCTATAAATAGCAAAAAGACAACATATGCAATATAACAAACACCTGAGAATGAACCTTCTAGTTATTACGTTAATAATTTTATATAAAAATATTAGTGGTATTAGAAATTGAACTTTAGAACAAGCATAACTGAAATTTATTTAAAAACAAAATTTAATTTGGAATTTTATATTATTAGCCCAAAAATTATAAGAAGAGTAGCAATAGAACTGAATCTTAATTACTGATAATGAAAGATAAAATAATATCTATTTAGAATCGATATTATTAATGATATTAATGTTTATCATCATTGTCTATGATACTACTGTTGCCACTACACTTTCTCTTTTTTATAGTATTAAACTTTCCACATAACATTATCAAATATTAACAGATTTAAATGCATATTTGTAAAGAAACGACTTTATAAGCTTCTATATATAAAATATTTCATTGTGCAGCGGCTACGTATTGTTCCATGTGTCAATATCGCATTTACTATGATTTTACACAACCTCCTTTTTCTCTTTGCTGTTTGATTCAATAGTTGGTTCATTAGGTATTAAAATTGTTTAAGAGTTTAGTCAGTGTTACTAGATAGCTAATAACGTACTACGATTTGCTAAAAAAAAATTTATCTAAATGAAGCCAAATCTTTGGAACTTTTCCATTCGTAATTAATTTAGTATCTTGCGCAAATTACACAACATTCATGGTAAGATAATTCTCTATCTAAAATGATAAATAATAGAATATAGATGTATGTGATGTTTTACAAAATTTAAAAAAAACAGAAATATACATAGATCATAAAAATTGTATGCGTTTTGCAACCAATTTATAATATCTTCCAATTGCTACCGACACAATTCAAATTTTGAGTAAATCTTAATGAAGAAACGATATACACTTCATTATCTTTTCAAAGAGATGACTTTTATGTAATGATATTAAAAGTAACTTACAACGAGATAAGACATATTCGCCAATTGTACATATTAATTTAGAATCTAGTTGATTTCTTCATATCAATAAAGTATGAAGAAACATGTCTAAATTTGAGAATTGTTAAAAAATTTATACTGATGACTACTGAAATATTTATACTGTGCGATCATCCATTAAACTGGAGTTTCAATTTTCTGTTTTTTCGTATCGTACAATTCGATCTTTCAATCATTTCCTTCCATGGATGCGAAAGCAATGATCGTTCGATGATAAAACAAAGGAAAATATTTTCTCAATTGTAAGTTTTGCGAAGAACGATAGTAATGCCGTAATAAATCTATACATTATACACGTAAGAGACCTGTAACCCAATTTCTTCAAATGAAACAGTTAGCTCGGATAAATGTTTTAAACGAACACGAATTTATCGGCAATATGAAATGTATGTACATGCTATCGTGCCTGGATTCTTCATGTGTTCGTTCATTCCGCGGGCGGTTCTTCTCTTTTTTCCTGTTAGGATTTTTAGCGAAAGTATCCTAGCGGATGAACCGAACAGGGCTTTGTTTAATATAAGCAAAAATAGCCGAATATATATATTCGTAAATACAACCTTAATGAACTACCTTAAAAATAGCTTGCTGAACTTCTCTCACGAACGAAGAATTCTTTCACCTTCACTTACAGTGTGTTTCATTATTCTTCTCTAACGATCCCCAACGTCAGAGAGATACACTTTTATAGATTCATCGTTTTGTATACAAAGAGTCTTGTGCTCATTGTTTTTATGTGATTCTAACACAATGCATAACTTCTCTATTACTTTTTCAAACGAGATTTTCCCTTTTCTTAGAATAAGTATTATCCCTATCCCAGGAGCGATGCACTTATCCAATTTAGCAAATCGAGTAAGTGCTTATGCACTTACCCATCAATTTTCAAGCTGATCTCATTTTTGAGAAATCGACGTGCTATCCGTCTTGATTGTGGCCGACTTCGTCTGCTCGGTCTTAGAGATCGCCAGGAAACGATCCCTTATGACGTTTTGAGACTTGCCACTCACTTCTTGAGCTTTCGTACATGAGCTGGAATTTTGCTTGTTTCGTGATTGCTGTTGTTGTTTACTTAAGTCTCGTTGAATATTCGAGAAAGAGGGACCAGCGTCGTTCCGTCTTCTAGGATGGCCTAATCGTCCAGATCCAAACGAATCGGCTCTGTTACGAAACTGCGAAAGATTCACTGAGTCCACACGAGACTTTTGCGCGACGGAATTATGCTCAGAATTTGAAGTTGGCAACGTTACGGTACTGGAACCACCAGATAGTCGACGAACTCTGTTGGTAGGTGAAGCATCACCGTCACCTGCACTTTCGGACACACTTCTGTTTCGTCTCTTCGCGGCCTGAGATCGTGAGTTTGCAGCAAATGCTTGCAGCATTTCATTTATTTGAGGCTGTAACATTATTAAGAACATTAACATAATTAGGAATGTTATTTAATGAAATGTGTTATCTTTTATGTTTAGATAGAACATTTACCTCGACCACTCTAAAGTCTTCGATACTCTTGAATTTAGACAAATACTCCTGTAATTTAAGATCTACTTGAAGTTGATCAGAGCGTTTATAATACTTTAAGAACGCCCAAAATTTTTCTAATCCATACAGTTGACCTACAAAGGGAAAATAAAATATTAGCACATTGCATTCAAACTAAACAACGGTTTTTAATTTAATTAATGCTTGTTGCTACGTTAAGTACCGCACACAAGACAAATTGATCTTATGGTACCAACTGAACATTTCATTTACTTTAGCACACCCTCACCGTCTAGTTAACAATAAATGTTATAACTAAACAACCTATAATGTGCATCAAGTTGGATGTTTTAGAAAGAAATACACTAACCACTTTCGTAATCTTGTATCGTTTCGACCTGGAAATCTTTATAAAGATGATGTCTAAATCTCTTTTCCAGACCGTAACTATAAAATCTAAAAAGGCATTCTAAACCATATCGGTAACCCTCAGAGGCATCTTCTTTGGCTACAGTCCTGAATTCTTCATACATAGTACGATTGAAATTTTCCCGCAAGAAGAATGACCAAAAACGGAAAAGTGTGTTCATTTCTTGAGATTGGCCAATTCCAAGTCTCTTACGTTCTGAAATAATATAAATACGATGAAAATTTGTGTACCCAAAGGAATTATAATTTATGTACACTAAGATATTTTCAGATCCTCTTTTCTCTTCATGATATCCCTCAGTCGGGAAAAGAAGACAAAAATAAAATAATTCATCACTATGTTTACTTATATAAAAAATATTAATCGTCTATAGTACTAATTTAGATAATGCCATTTCATGAATCATAAGAAATAATTTAAAAAACGAAAATTTATATTCACCTTTTAAGCAACGTGAATGATACTTGTGATAGACCTGCTGCGTAAAACCATTTTCTTTTAGAAGAGCATGACTCGGGTGATGAAATATTGGTAATGATTGTGGTGCACTTCCGTAACTACTCGCAAGGTAACCTTCATTTGGACTTGTTCCTGTGCTACTTCTGTACAATACAATAAAAATGTAAAGTTATTAAATTGTTATTAAACTTTTTTCGCTTGTTATACAACTTGTTGGCGATGTAAATTTACCCCGTAGAATATGTACGCGGTCGATGCTCCCGAACGTCCATAATCCAGCCAACGTGATGTTCAACAGGGGGATTATTGCTATGTCGTGTTTTTCTTTTTCGCGGTGTCCTAGGATCTACCGAAGGTTCGTCCTTTACTACCGCGAAGAAACGAGGAACCACTCCTCTTCTACTATCCCTTCTCGATTTATCATTCCAGCGACTTCTATCTACACGACGATCTCTTCTCTCTTGACCATCTGTAGTTATTGACATCTATGGATACAATAATTACATTAAATGTAAAATGTGAAGCGAACAAAATTAATATAATTAATGAGATTAAATAAATATGAAATGAAAAAGTACCTGCGTTGGAAGCGAACGAGACACTTCCATATCTTCTATTGCGGATGGTGGTGGAGGTGGAACTTCCGGATTAGCTTTTTTAGGCGCTTTAGGAGCCATTTTTTCAAAATCTTCTTGACTAATCACATTGACAGTTTTATAGCTTCCAATTGACGACGAAGATCCATACTATAAGGAATGAAGTAACTCAAACCTGTGTATACCAGAGAAATATTCTAAAAAAATGATTTAAACTTACCCTTTGACCATCTTTCATCCATAAATCTTCTTCATAATAGTATAATCCATCATTGATAGCTTGCTCGAGATCCTGGGTCATTTTTACTCTTGTTGTCCAGTCACCAGTTCGATCATGACCTTCGTGTTTCGGAATACGCGTCGACATGGGCACCGACGTTTGTGTGAAGATTAAAAGTTTATTGACATCTCTATCTGACAATTCATAATCTTCATCGTCTTCAGACCTACAATATATCACATGTTAACTTTTACACATACAGAGTAACCTGAGAAAAAGACACAATAGTTTAGAAGTATATAGTAATCAGTAAAATAAAAATATAATGTCGTACTAATAATTCAAAATAAATCAGGAACTTTATTTATAATTTCTTTCTAAGAAGATATTTAATTTGCATTAAAATGCTAATCTGGAGTTTGCTGTAATAGATAAATACTTTTTGCTATTTTTTATGAATACTATATACTCTTAAGTTATGAACGCATGTATAAAATTCATAATATAATCAAAAGAAAGTCAAACAAATAGCAACAAACCATTCAGAAAATGCATTGTGGCGGCCAGTTGGTGGTGGCGTATCAAGTTCCTCGTCAAATTGAAAGTCTAACTCCTCTCTTTCTTCGCTTTTAACGTTATCAATTTTCTCTTTTTCTTCGTTTCTTTCCTTATGTGACGGTTTCACCCTTCGCCTTACCTATCATTTTCATGAACTCAGTTATTACTTATCACTAATAGTAATAACTTGTTTGAAATAGATCCACAGTTTGTGTCGCAATTTTTATACACCGATGACGTTTCGGGCAAATATTCTAATTTACTTAATCGGTAACACAACATCCTATTAGACCATTTTATAAATTCATTGCATTCTTTATAGTTCTAGGTAAAAAAGTACAGTTCAATTTAAGATCTTGAATAAGTTGTAAAAGTGGAAGTGTTTTTTCTGTGGATTAAAAAAACGCGAATATTTAATTTCAATGTTGATACTAATAATACACGAAAAAAAGATTACCTCTTTCCAAACATCATTGACAGATTGTGATTCTCCGTTGACTTGCACTTCTGGTACGGAGGATGGACTAGAACATTTGACTGTTGTGGACATTTTATCGTCCGGTTTCGAAGCTTTGTTTCTTGAGAGCAGTAATGAGTTGTCACTCGATAGTACTGGAATGCTTCTCACTTCTACTGATTGTTTTTCTGTCTTGAATGATTCGCTTGTATTATCGAATACAACAGATTCGTTATTTTTGACTGTCAGTTCGTTCGAAATTGGTATGAACTCCGGTACGTCAGGATTTAAACTGTCGCCTATTAATGAGGATATACTTTCTGATTCACTAAGCCTTCCTATTGTTGGGATAGTATGGTTGGATTGAAGAACGCGCGGAACTGGGGGAATAGGAATTGTAGATAAAGGTCTCGCAGCAGGGCAAAAATCGGATTCGGACGTGGAGGAGAGTATTACTTCGTTTTGAGATGAATTCGAAGTATTAGACGGTTCTAAGAATACGGGATTTCCAGCCGCGTCCAAGATAGGCCACTTCAAAGGATCTATTTTCGTTCTGACCTAATAAAAAAAAAATAATAACATTAGTCATTAATAACAAATTAATAACATTAGTCTTGAAAATTATTTTAGAGATTCTGCAATAATATTTCAAAATTGATATTTCATAAAAGACAACAATAGCTGATAACTCGTATCTCAATTGATCGCTACAATACAGCAAAAAATATATTTTCCAGGGATGAATTTGTGAGGAGGCCTACTTTCAAACTCCATTCATTGAACTTAAATTAAGCTCGAATGGTGTCAGCGAATCCTCTTCCATTTTATCTAGCACAATTCTTTCACCAAAGACACAAAATGATGTAGCTGGATTCGAATTTCGATTTGTGCATTATTAGAATAATGAATATACGTTTACATTACCTTAAATCCATCCACTAATTCTAATTTATCGGATTCCATAATCGCCTCAATAACAAGTCCAACATCTGTTGTTAAGGTTTGTACGCGATGAAAAGAAGCAATTAAAGTAATAGGTAAAAAGCCTTGTGCGTCCATTTTACGACGCAAAAAGAAATCTCTTAAAAGGTTTTCTTCACTGAAGTAATATTCTCTGTGAAAATATAAATTACATATTAAAGAAAAGAATTGTGTATTGTTTTTGTTTTTCACTAATTTATAAAACTTACATTTGATTCCTCAGAATTTCCTTAAGCGCCGATGTATTTATGTTCATGAAATTACTAAAATAAAATGTTCCCATGTAACCCACCATATAATTAGGATCCAAAAGACCAAATTTATGCATCTAAAAAAATGTGTCAATTGAAAATAATTTGTTTAGAGATTTAAATTTCTTTATCTCTATATTAACATTCAATATCAGGTCTACTTTCGCTACTCTTCAAAGAATATTCTGAGAGATTCCCATTAGCTTATCATCATTATTAATATAATTTATATTATTTATTATTTTTGTTATATACGAAATGTAGGTAATAAGAAAATAGTAAACATAAAACTACCTGCATATAAACTTGGTCATGTCTGTGCCTGAAACCACCACGATAAGATCCTCGTCCACCACGCCCTCCTCTTCCTCTGTAACTTCGCCCACCTCGTCCACCTCTTGTAATATACGCTGGCCTATCATGCTCTCTATTTCTATACGAATCTGCTTCTGTTAAAAGATATAATTCTAAATTTAATATGCAATACTTAGAATATCATGAAATATTTATTAAATACCTTCTCCACTCTTTTCCCTCTGATTATGGTACTTTGGTGACCGATCTCTTTTGCTCCGATTTTTTGCTATATCTATTTCCAACGGTACCCATTTCTGCTTGTTCACTATAAAGGTGAAACAAGAATATTAAAGATTCAACTTAAAAAATAACTCTTCACTCATCTTTTATCATTTATGTCATAGCAAAGAAAATAAATCAGTGCTTGTTACCTTTTTTTTTCTTTTCATTACTATCCAAATGTTCTTCATCATCATGCTGACAATGGTTCTGCTCTTTGTTTTCTTTTCCTCTGCTTTCAACAGCATTACTGCTACTTTCTTTGCAGTTATTTTGTTCAATCACACCATTTTGCTTCTGTGCTGTTACAACTGTCTTCTTCTAAAGGAAAATATTTTTTTTAGTTAGTGACATGTACAAAGAAAATTATATTAAAGAAATAAATAATTGTGTGAATGTCAAATGATTTCACGGATAAGAAATACGTCCGCAATGAGATAACATTCGATTTTACTATAGCAAAATATTTACGCTCATAGATAAATACATGATATTACATTCTATGAGTTCTAGCTTTTGCATAGTACATTTTTTTACTTTTAAAACAATAACTGAGAATCTCAAATATAACTAAAGTAAATTTTAACAAATTTTGTTTAATTGATAAATTAAACGATGAAATATAGTAGCGATTAAATATTATTTTGTTAAAAAGTTGCGTTGACAAGATAACGTAAGCATTCCAAAAACACGACAAATAATTTTAACTAACCTCTCCTGAAGCTTCTAAAGTTGGCCAATCGCCGATATCTGAGAAGTCGCTCGCCTGTTAAAGTCACAAACTAGATTTTAGTTGTATCCAATAAAATATAATAAGAAATTGGTATCTTAAGAATATTTTAATTAAAAGAAAATTTTTATACACAATTACTATATTATACGATTACCATCAAACATTATTATTAATGTTATTAAAAATATTAACATTATTATTATTTTACCATACAATTGGAATCATTGCATATACCTTTTGATTAAATTTTCTTCTATCCTTTGACACCGTCACAATAGTCGGATGATTTCCAGTGTTGATGCCATTTTCTGTAAGAAAGTATTTTAATAGAATAGAATATTTTCTAACGTCAAACTTTTCAACCATAAACTAATTCTTATCGTGTCACTTATAATCTATTCGTAACTTCGTGACCTATATTATCTACAGAACACGTGCTTCATAAATCCTTTTATCTACGACCGTGTGTCCCGAAGAAAGTGCACAAAGAATTTAAACAAAAAATACGGCACTTTTTATTGGGTTCTATTATCATCAACAAGGTAATTTCTAGATTTTTAAGCAAAATGTTACTAAGCAACAAGTCCGTGAAAATATTTATATTTAGTATTATTTATTATTATTATTATTATTATTATTATTATTATTATTATTATTATTTAGTACTAATATTTAGACCATAGAACACTCCTGTTTAATAATAAATAATAATAATAAAGTAATAAATAATTTTTTATCTTCGTTAAATATTCAACAAAAATTCTACAACATTTGCATATACGTAGTTTATATTCAACATAGATGAATTATTTAATATTAATATAATTTTATTAGATCATAAAGTTTGTGTTCGTATAACTATGAACATATAAAATTCTGCTCGTAAAATTCCATAGTATGGAAACTACATTTGTAGCTTTCTTACTTATTTATCAAAAATAATGTTTTCTCTTCAAATAAATTATCCTTGTTATATTTCTTGCAAATGATCCCCTTCTCAAATACAAATTTATTAGTACGTCGTTCGTATTGTATATACAGCGTGTTTCAGTCTGTTAGATCTATGTCTTTGAGTGTAAATCAGAAAGAAATATAAACACAGTTTAAAATTTTATTAAATAAATTTTTATGAAAGAATAGACAAGAATAGCCTCCTGATCTATACAATCACTAAATGTCTCTTTCACAACGTTCACTATTTCTGTCGCTAGCTGTGGTAAAAAATTATATATTCAGTCCACATAGTTATCAGTACATTCAGTCCACACAATCATCAGTACATTCAGTCCACACAGTCATTAGTACAGTCAGTTCATATTTATTAATATTTATTTAATATATTTTCTTTTATAACTATCAATATATAAAAATTTAGTAACATGAAATCAGTTGATATTGGAAGCGTAAATATTGCTCCTTTCATGTTTTCCATCTTTATTATAACTTTTTAATAAAGTTTCGAATCCTGTATAAACACGCAATAACTGAAAACGCACAAACAAGAATTTGACACTATCTCCGATTTCTTTATTTTCTATAAATAAGCAATGCAACGTATGCGCTAGAAATGTACAAACGACTTCTCGAAACATAGGGCGCATGTTACGCAAGTGATACCAGCTGTAGATTTGCTTGTTGACCTGTTTTCGGTCGAGTCGATCTTTCGTTTGCTTCGAAAACACAAATCACCGCGAAAGCGAAAGTAACTCACGCATTACCGTGTCCTGCTTCTCGCGTTACAGTCTCGATGATCTAGACCTAACGAGTTTGACAAAAATTCTCTTCCATAATTAATTCCAGGCAGAAAGATGCCAATAAAGATAAGGAGATGGAAACAAAAGTAATCTTACGTATCTTGCACAATGATACATTAGAATAATGTGTAATAGAATTTGAGTACACTGAAAGATTGGTACTACCAGTAAAATATAGTAATGTTTGGTGTTAAGTTTCACAACCTGTTAAGATTCAAAATTCGAAACTGTTTGAAGTCTTTAGTATTGGGTTGCCAACGGTAATTGGGAATTTTGTCAATACCACTTAATAACAAAATCTGCAATCACTTAGTTGCCAACCCAATATAATACTTTTAAGTATTTAATCATGTTCTAATTTTCATAATATATGTTGAGAAACTTCGAATCGATTCAGAATCATTAGCCAAGAGTAACGAACGACGAATAAATTTATTAAGTAACACACGTAGGATAAATTTTTATAGTAGAAGACTTACTAAATAAAAACAAAATAAAATACATACTAAATCATAGAAAATAAAGGGGTATTTGGTAAGGATGTTGCACAGAAGATTTCTGCGATATCAACGTATAGAAAAAACAAAAACATTCCATTCCAAGCAATTCGATCTCTTCGAAACGTAATCTAAACATTTCAGGCTTAGGTTATCCTCGTAAGGACAGAAAAAGAATCGCGCGCGTATAAAAAAAGCCCCGAGCGTTCTTTTTTTCGACTCTGGTTCAACGGGATCTCGTTCTTTGTACTTTAGCATGCATTGTTTTCTAACTGAGAAATCGATTTCATAGCTGATTAGCCTCCAATTTTTCTGCATTCAAATTAATTCAACAGAAGTAAGCTTTTGTAAAATAATAATAACGCATTAGTATAAACGCGTCTTATAAACAATTATCAATAGAAGAACAATAAAAAATATTACAAATACAGAAAAATGTTTGCATTTTTTTCTCCAATATTATTTACTTAAAACTTAGTACAGATGCAATATAAATTTTCTCATCTTACAAATATGATTAATAGCAATAACCCTGAACAAAACATAAAAATATTATCGTTAGTATTGACTTAAAGAATTAATTAAAACTCACGTTGAACAGTATCGCCTTTATTTTTATTTATCTTCATTGTGTATCGCGTCTATGAAGACTCTGTTTTTATGAGAAACGTCTTCGTTAAAAATTCGGTTCTGCTCACTAGATTTCAGTTCTTCGTTGTTTACACGTAGAATAGAATACCTCAAACTTTTATATAACGTTCATATAAAGAGAGACTCGCGCGTAAGCTAATACTTCTTGACAATGATATAGAAGAGAAAAGCACATAACAGCTAAATTCGAAATATTATAATCGGATTCACGCACTTATATAGCGTTACGACGGTCACTTCACTTTCGCGCAACAGGTGCAATCGTGTACCTTCATTTGCCGTTTTTCTTTATACACACTCTATTGTATATAAACATTTATTAAGTAGAGTTCTTCAGAAATATAAGTTAATATGAACCTTATAATGGAAACTTCCTAGTTCGATATGACTTTCATACGATAGTTTTGCGATATCTAGTTTAATGTTACAAAATTTAATATTCACAGAAAGTTTTGTATTTTCAAATAAATTACTATATTTATCTATATAAGAAATGTTATTCTGATAAAATAAAGAATTTTAGTGTGCTATTATATGGTTAACGAATCCAATAAGATCATTTTAAATCTTCCCACCGATTTTGCGCGTACATAAAATAGTAACTAGCACCAATTAAAAACTATACAAAGTTCCTTCCATATGTTATGAAATTTGCTGCACCTTATATTCAAGACAATGATCATGGTTAGAGCACATAAATACAATTTACTGACAATGTTATATCTAAAAATAAGGCAACTATTAACCAATAAGATTTATTACTTCGAAACGAATAAAAAGATGCACTCTCGATGAACAAACTGTTACATCAATGAATATTTCTCTAATTTCTATACTGCACGAAATGTTATTATTTAATGTTTGGAATTAAGTGTTCACACATACACCTATCTTGCACTACAATAATTTTTTTTTTAAAAAGTTTTTAAATACATATGTTTTAAGGATAGTGAATATTAGAAAAGAATTCTTTTGACTAGAGACACAATGGAAACCCGCCATATACTATTTCGTAGCTGCAGCTCGAGAGTCAACGGTGCACTGAGCCACCAGGCAAAAAGGGAGAATCGAAAACGCTTGCAGCGACCAAGAACGGTAAATACTTGCAGCTGCTTCGCTAGTCTTTCATGTGCAAACAGCATTAAATCCAATTTTCATCTCCATTCTACTGGCTCCTTTCGTCTTCGATCTAGGAAGAGTCCGTTAGAAATAGATAGATCGACGATTTTTCAATCGAATGATATAGTAATTTTTTAAATTAATTAATACCTATTTCAAAATATGTAATATCTGTTGTTAAAAGATGTTTTAACAACATTGAAGACTGATTACTTCTAGATTGCAAATTTATATTTTTATAAATATAATTAAAGAAATGAAATCTAGATACACAGTTATTTTACATACTAAATATTGTAACGAATACTATACTTAGAATATTTTATATGTTTTTGTATACTATGTGTACTCTGAGTAATTTTATGTTATCTATGATAGTATAAGAATCCATAGTCTATTCCATAGTCCATAGTCTATGGCAAGTAAAAAGGAAACGTTGTTATTTATTTACTAATGGGGCCTACCTAAGTTATGACATTAGGCAAGAACTGACAAATGGCGTGATTCAATTTCATTTATAATATTGACATTGTTATCGCAAGGTAACAAGGTAACAAACAGTAAATTTTTCTCATATCGCGAGATATGCAAGAAATCAATATTTCTTACGAAACGGAGTAACCAAGCAGGAAAGCTTGATGGCAACCGATTTGTTCCATCTTGTTACATCGATAACTAACTAACACAATAACACGCGTACGCGCGCTCAACAACTTCCGGTCAATTCAATACGTAAATTTGTCGTAGGAACAACTCATGGGTGCCGCACAAGGAGGCCGGCGGTCGGTTGCGAACAGAGAACAAGGAGAACGGAGGAAAACTTGTTTGCTCGTGTCAGATCCTGTAGCGAATCGCTCAAAGCAATGTTAAAAATATAGCATGTAAAGTTCGACGTAAAAACGAATCAATATCTTTCTCTCTCTCTCTCTTAAATGCCAATGTAATATATTTTGCAACCGGCGAAATGAAAATTTATAAATAAAACAAAAAATGTTAATTAGCATGAAATATTCATTCGAATATTTAAAGGTAAGAATTTCAACGCGCTAGGTTCATTAAGTAACACCTTAACGATAACTGACGTAACATTCTTCATGATTAACCAGACAAGTCAACTACTAATGACTCTAAAAAAAGAATAATTTTTTGCATTCATTGAAATTTTAATTTTAGCAAGAAATGAGACAAAAGAGAGTGCAATAACTCTTATTAATATATTACAATATTTGTTCTAATTAGTAGAAATATAAATTTTAGTTATAGTATAGTACCCACACTACAAAATAT